CATTCGTATTGAAATAAAGTTGTTATAATAATAATAATGGAAATAATATTAATGATAAAATGGAAAAAAAAAAATAATAATAATAATGATAATAATAATATACGTCGTATATATCTATACATAATACAATTGTGTTTTTTTCTGAATAGACCAGTTTCGAATTCCAAATTACCTCTGTGTTCCTTGATTACAGACTCATTTGCACATTAGCCTCGTATCAGTGTTTAAATATTCACAAATACCAACGGTAAAGTAAAGAATGCACAACTCCAACAATACGAACACTTAGAAATTCCACGGACCTTGACTGGAACACGTGAATATTCTGCACAAACTCGAGGTTAACCCTGTGCAAATGAGTCTGTAATCAAGGGACACAGCGGTAATTTGGAATTCGAAACGGGTCTATTTGAAGATCGTAGGAATCATTATTTTTGTTTGTTTGTTTGTTCGTTCAGTTGTTTGTTTCCTTGTTTGTTTGTTTGCTTTAGCTAGGAAGCATTAGCAAGTCACATATCATCGTTTCTACCTTGCTTTTCCGTAGAAAACTCAGCCACGAATCCTCTTTTATTGATTTGACCATCTGATTTAAACATCACCAATAAATACCCCCCACTTGAGTACAACTTAGGTGGAGTATTACTGCCACAGAATCGACCAATTAGATTCGAGCTACTAGAATTCCCATCACGCACTTCGACAAAGTCGCACTGACAACGCCCTGGCGCTGCAGAGCAGTTCTCGACTCGAAAAGATATAAAGTTGAGTTTAATTCTCGATCCTGGTTCGGCTTTGATAAGCCAGGTACATTTAGTGTTTGATGGGTAGGTAGATGAGTAATCTGGACTGACGATGACTCCGCCTTTTGTTAAAACATTGGGCTCTTCTTGACAAACTGAAATTGAAATGAATTATTTGCTTGAATATTTCAAGCTACTAAAACGACGCTATTTTACTATCAGGGAGGCAGGGAGGCAGGGAGGCAGGGAGGCAGGGAGGCAGGGAGGCTGGGAGGCTGGGAGGCAAGTCCCGAGAGGATTTTTTTCTGGAGGACTAAACTATCTTTTTTTTTTGCATAAGAAAAGACGGCCTGTTACTTTGTCCCCCAGAACAATTCCTTTAGAAAATCAATGCAAGGGGTTTATATCACAATACATGCTCACCATGTCCTTTTTGAACAGATGTATAAGCAGCTAAAAATCCACTCCCACTATCCCCATGATCAGACTTAAAAACAACAATAAGTTGTTTTCCACTTGAATACAATGATCTCGGCTTGTTCTTCCCACAGAATTTCCCTAGTGTCACGTTGTCATTGTGTTGCGTGACATCGTAAACTGTGACGTAATCACAGTCACAGTTTTTACAGTTCTCAAGATGAAACTTCGTGAATGATAACTTGATGAAATGGCTTGGTGGTGCTGTAATCTTCCAGACACATGTTGTGTCTGTTGGATAGAATTCGGCGTGTAAAGGAGATGAAAATATATCGCTATACTCTGTTAATTCAGTTACGTTTTTACACCCTGAAAACACAGAATACAAAGACTTTATCAATATAATGGATAAGTATTTAAAAACTGTTGAAGCAAGGTGCAACGATAAGGACGATAACCATAACCAATCATAGCGCTCGTTACATATGGAAACCATTAAAGTGTCAAGTTACTGTATTCACCGGTTATTCAAAAACATCCGTGACAAATTAAATAAGGAAATAATTTTCCCCCTCAAAAGAACCGACGCGACGTGTCGTCTGGTACTTTCAAAGGATTATTACTTCCTTATACTCAATGAAGACGCTTACATTTTGATTTCGAAATAATATACTATCATCCTTCCTTTATTTCTTTATTTCTATGCGATTACGTCGTCATAAATTAAGTTAATTAAGTATAGAAGGGTTAACACGTGGGATTTACACCTGGTCGTCAATACAAAACCAGTCGTAACTCAAAAAGATCAATATCCTTAGCATTGAATGATATAGGATACAGGTTACAATCAGATATAATATATTAACTACTCCAGTGAAATACAAACCATTTTCTCATTGAATACTTACATGATGCTCTTCCAGCGCCGAGCAACGTGAAAACTGTGGGGGAAAAAGTTAATCATTAATGAATTGGATTGATGCATGAAAGCAAGGTGGTTTGAAGCTTCAGGTGTATATATTGATGCCATGCGACCACATGGYGTGTACCCGATGAATAGAGGTTCAGTATGGACAATAGCGAAGCAACTTTAGTTATCAATCTCTCCGAGTTCCATCAGTGATCAGTTACAAACTTTATAACGAGCGCTAGCGTTGTTTGCCGATTTTTTTTCTTTTCTTTTCTTTTTTCTTTTCTTTTATTCTCTTCTCTTTTCTTTTCTTTTCTTTTCCTTCTCTTTCTCTTTCTTTTTCTCTCTCACCACCACTACCCGCGCTACCACCACCACCACCACTACCACTACCACTACCACTACCACTACCACTACCACTACCACTACCACTACCACTACCACTACCACTACCACTACCACTACCACTACCACTACCACTACCACTACCAACACTACTACTACTGTGTTTATCACCACCACCACCACCACCACTACCACTACCACCACTACAACTACTACCACCACCACCACCATCCAAACTACTATTACTTGTACTACTACTTCAGTTCCTGCAGTAACCATCAATCTAAACTAAGTTAAGCAAGCATTTCGTCATAATCCTTACTTTCTATAGTTTCACTGCAACACACAACACAAAAAATGACCAAATACGCCATATGCACATATATCTTCATTGTCGTGTTTTCCCTTTTGAGCCACAAGATTCCCTTACTTCGTACACAATTTCACTGTGTTGGGTCAGCGCTCCAGTTCAGCCTTGCTCGTTTTCTCGTGTTTTCAGCGTCAACACGTGTAATTATACTAAAGACTTAAGCGCCAACAATTAGCGAGCTTTATGGTTTTACGCTCTGTTAGTTGTCGCGTGACTCGACTCATTATTCTGCATCATTAAGCACCGAACAAAACAGTAACAATAATTTAAACAAGCAATTTGTAAGTGGCTTGAAGCAACAACATGCAAGCTGTGTTGTTAAGGACCTCGTACCGTTGTGGTCAACAACCAACTGCCATAAACTTTATTACATTCTTGACGACGAAGCCACATCTCGACATAAAATGCCAATGATATAATGCCACAATACCAGCAATAAATTTAACAATTATATAGTTACTTTAACTGAAAATAGAACATATTAAATTCATTTACAAATTTTTTTTCAGCTGAAGTTTAACGAAAAAACCTTGTTTTCTCTTCTCGATCAAAACCGTATATTTTCGCTCATTTTGGTTGCTATGGATACCAAATTTTAAGGCAACATTCATTGCCTCAGCAGAACACTACTTCTATTTCCTATCATTTTAATTTAAAATATATATATTTATATAAATATATTTCCCACTTCTTGTTATATCATAATATTTTGCCTGTAAAAATAATAAGCGGCGTAGTAATGATCGAAAAAGAAATCTTAAGATATTGGTTGGATCATACTTTAATTGTAGTAGACATTTTGCCGCCAAAGTAAAGCTCATTGCCGAATTTTACAACACAAATTTGAAATTACAATTATGTGTTAAATATAACGCCTTATTTTTAGTTTTCAATGAAGTTATTAATCACGACGGCGTAGAATAACTCGTTTCAATTTCCTGCAGTGCAAATATTCCCTAAACTTAATTTAAATTATTACACAGAAAAAATGGAAAAAAATTGGGTATTTTTGTAATTTGTTTACCTGACTATAAGATCTTGTCCTTTATGTTTAAATATTCAAAATTAAATTTATAAATCGGGAGCATTTTTCTCGATACAAACAAAACTATCCTTGACCACAATTGAAAGACTAATCGCGATTGAAATGATAGGAAAATCACTTAAAACCTGTAAACAATGTGCCACATTTTAACTAAGATGGCCGATAGTACAAGGAATGTCGCTTTTTTGAACTAAATAACAATAAAACAAGAATTCTTTTACGTATTTCTATTTACTAGAGACACATTCGCTACCAAGTATCTGTAACACGTGTCGTTTGAACAAAGCTATTAGCGATATTAGCCACGTGCAATAAAAACATAACATCAATTTACTCATATATTTTCAAAAATATTTAAAAACCACGAAATTAAAATTAAATTCTACTTGACCAGAGTTTGAAAACATTCTTAAATCTCACGAAGAAACGATGAAAACTCTCTTCGGAATAAAAAACTTTGAGTTTAAAATGGGTTAAAAAGCGAATATAAATAAACACTCCGGCTCGCAGGTCTGAACAAAGACAGGCCAAAGGAGAAATAAGACGGCGTGACCGATTTGTTTTCTCAACCAGTTTTTTCGCTGGCAATAATAAATTTGTAACAATAATACGGCCATTTTCCCTTAATGTTGTGTTAAAAATATAATCACTAAACAAGGAATATGGAATAATGTCATTAAAGCCAGAAATTCGAAAAAGAAGAAGCAAATTTCCTCATTTTTTAGAGTTTATTGCATCGTCGTCAGAGTCAAGCAGACGGTTGCCCAACTCTTATAAAAAATATAAAAATCTTGAATGAAAAATTCAATAAATACTTACAAAAAATAACTTGTAGCATCCCGCAGGATTTAAACTTCCCTCCTATCTCGAAATTATTGTCTTTTTACGTCTGAGGAGCTGTGGATTCATGTCGAAATTTCGATCCAGTGAGGCGTGTCAGGACTTGTTCCACTGTCACGCAAGCTTCACGGTCAATCTTGGTTATATATGTAAATTTTTGCAGGTGATCTTTGTGGACGTTGTTGACACATTTGAGTGCGATAAATCCTTTTATTGGAGGATCTAAAGTATGAAAGTAAACACTGTAGACCAATTGATTACACTAATGCCAAAATAAAGTTAACCTCTATAGAAATAGATACAAGTATATTTTTTAATTATTTCAGCATATTGTTCAGTTTTGAGCTACTGCTGTTATGCTAATTCAAAACATTTTACCCCAAAAATGAAGAAATTATTTTTTTGTTTATTTCGCTTTGTTTTAAAAAGAATAAAATACTGATACTTGTTTCCTGCTGAAAAATTATGAATTTCAAAGTAAAAATATGCTTGTTATGAGGAAATCTAACTTAAATCACTAAAAAAACCCAAGAGATTTCAATCAGAGCCTTTGAAAAAAATTCCTATTTTGACAGAAAAACACAATTAACCAAACCTATAGAAAAGCAGTGGGGAGTTTATGAAGTATTTTAAAGAAAAAATAGGGAATTTTAAATTTTCAAAGTGAAATATTTTTCTTCGAGTTATTATGACATATGGAGTGCCATCTTTGGAAAGTCCAAAAACAAGTTTATATTGACTTCATAAAAGTACTTATTGACCACTCCTACTTACCAAGTAGGTTACACCCACACTGCCAAACATTTTTGATAAATTAAGCATATTTTTTAAGTGTGTGCTATGTGATTTTCTTTTAAATAAGTACTCAGTAATGAAGATAACTGATTGAAAGCTTACCTCAAGACAAAAGTGTGGACTAGTTAAGAAATATGATGTTTAAATGCTGAAACAAAAAAATATTTTTGAAGAATTCTCATTAAATTTTCAATACTTGTAACACATTAATAAGCACAATTATTCCCACGATAAATACAAAAGGAAAAGAAGTAATAATAATAATAACAATCATAAATAAAAGTAATAAAGAATTCACACAGGTTTTCAGTATTAAAACTAACTTTATTTAGACAACAAGCTTCAATACTACGCTTATATAAGTACAAAAATACTATTCGTTATTATTAGTAATTTGGTTTTAACTTGCTAATAAAAATTTGACACAGCTTCTACTCTTTATTACCATAGATTTATGGAAATACATTTCTGCTCCAATTGTTTTTTTCAACTAAAGAATGTCTTGAGGAGATTTTCATCCAACGAAAAAAATAAAATAAAATAAAACAAAGTTCAGAATGATACAAAAATAAAACAAAAAAAAAAATTTTCAAAATATTCTCAAGAATTTCATTACCTAACAAATTAAAGAGCAACAGTAGCCTAGCAACCCTAAGGTTACACAAATCACCATGGAAACATACTCGTATAGTCTTAAAGGCATATTGGGAAAAGTAAAAGATTAGTAGATTTGTCACGAAAACAGTTTTTCCTTTGAAGAAATAAAAAAACCACCGATGACCGAACGGTAACGAAACGAATAATTGACGACCTAATCGATATTATATCGGAGACCAATAGCCAATCGATACTGCAATAATAACTGTGTAATAATTATTCAACAAAATAAGTATTAATGTACTGAGAATCTATAATGTTTTTGCTAATAAGCAGAGGGATCATGGTAGTCATGTTGGAGTACAACCCAAGGGAACCAACTCAACTATTTTGGTGTCATCCAACATGGCCCCTGTGATATCACTCATAAGAGAAACGAGTAATATTTCCAGACCTATAATATTTTTCTAATTCAATCATCATCTTCGGGAACATATCGGGCTTGTCGAATTTTACCGAGCTTCATCCGAGCGAGCTCGAGTTCTTTTTCGATACGAAGGACGTGTTCCTGAGCCTCTAGTTCTTGTGCAATTCCACCTACGAACCGCTGGTTAATAATGACCGTGGTCTCTTCTTCTTCAAAGATGGCGGCTTTCTTCGCAGCACGGACTAAGTTATCCGCGGCACGTTTCACCGCGTTACCAGCAACCTGAAAATAAACCACAAAAAAACCCAGACATTACTCAAAATATGTACGCATTGCAGCATGGGAAATGTAGTACGCACAAAGTTAATTGTGCTTAAATTGCGTATAGGAAAATGGAAGGCGTTTACAAGTTTTTCTCCTTCCACAGAACCTAATATAGCTACGCGTTTTATAAATCCTAATTCGATCTTTGAGTTAGCTGTAACTTGACTCCGATCAGTCCAGAAATTGTCTTAGGGTTTGATCTGTAAAGTTAGCCGGGACCTGACTTAGATTACCCCAAAGTTTGTTTCAGAGTTCGAGAAAATGTGAAGGTTTTGTGTTCTTAAAAATGCGGTCCAATCTGAGTGAAATCAGATCTCGTCCACGATGTAGGTTCCAACGACTCTAAATGGCTTTCGATATGAACCAACCAAAGTTGTCCAAAATATTCGCTATCCAATCACAATTCATGGATAACCAGGAAGCCATTTGAGAGTCACATACCGTGAATTTCCTCTTCACGGAAAAAAGATTCACGAATAATGCATTAAAAAAAAAAAAAAAGAAAAATTTTAGAGCATCGTGTTATTAAAATACCGCTTCCGCATATGTTTTTGTCTTTTCTTTCATAATTTCAATCTCCGCTTGGGTTATGACTAAATGTAATGGTATCTTTTATCGTTAATTGCGCTAATAAATGATGCATGATATCTACGCCGAATTGGTGAAAAGTCGCTTCCATTTTCATTAACAAACGAAAAGATAAAACCATGTGGCACGCCCTCAACCGCATCAAAGATTAAAGCATTTTTAAGTAAAGAAACTTTTATATAAAGAACTTCAAGATAGATGTAATGTTTATTTTGTCTAACTAAACTCAAAGCTTATGGAGTGTACGGTAGACACAAGATAGAGCTCTGTGGCACGCCCTTAACCGCATCAAAGATTAAAGCTTCCTTAAGTAAAGAAATTTTTATATAACGACCTCCAAGATATATGTAATTCTATTCTAACTAACTAAACTAAAAGCTTATGAAGCACATGTGGACACAAGACAGAACCTGTGGCACGCCTTCGCCCTCAACCGCATCAAAAGTGTGTAAAGAAATCTTTGTAAAAAAGTAATTCAAAATTATCATGCCTATTCTAACTAAATCAAAAGCTTATCAAACATATGGTGAACACTAGATAAACCCCTATGGCACGCCGTCAACCACATCGAAAATATAAGGTCTGCTACAGAAATTTCTTATACAAAGAAACCTTTGTATAAAGAACTCCAAGATTGATCTAATCCTATTCTAACTAAAGAAAGCCGAAATCCTGATCCCGATTCTGATTATCTGATTAAGTCTAGTTTAACGTACTGTTGACTCGTTTCTAGAAAGATCTTTCCGCGATAATATAAGATTATCTTTATCTCCTGTAATGCCGAATAGCTTTTAGCTACCGCATGAAAAGAAATTCCCGATATGTCAGTAAACAATCTTATAAAATCGCTTGTCTTTTGTACTGTATCAGCCACTTGTCATTATTTTTATTGATATTGGTATTTGACAATGTGGAAAATTAGTACGGAAGACAAGAATAGATAGATCTGGATAGACATGGTCTGAGTGTAGGCTAGTTTCTTCTCTATGTCTTGAGGCTAAAACATTATCTTGTATTTCCGTATATTAAGGGCGGATCGGTCTTAATTGCCATCAGATCTGATGAGCATATGGCACCTCAGCTTCTGATAATGTCTCGAGGGTATAGTATGTATTTTTATCATTCAAATCTAAAAATTACCGTTGGCTATTTTTTTATGGACTTTGAACTCGAAGCCGCTTGAACCAATCAATATTTTTTTCGTTTTTTGACTTGTTTATCGGGTATATTTTCATAAGAAACTTTTAAAATTTAGCTTCAAAAGAAAAGTAATGAAGAGAGAAAGAGAAGGAAATAAAAAGAAATGAAATGAAAGAAACGGAACGGAAAGAAAAGAGAAAAGAACGAAAGTAAATAAAATAAAGTGAAGTGAAGTGAAGTGAAGTGAAGCGAAGTGAAGTGAAGTGAAGTGAGGTGAGGTGAGGTGAGGTGAGGTGAGGTGAGGTGAGGTGAGGTGAGGTGAGGTGAGGTGAGGTGCAACGAGGGGAAGCGAAGTGAAGTGAAGTGAAGTAAAATAATATAATACAAAATAAATAGAATAAAATAAAATAAAACAAAAGAGAGGGAAAGAGAGAGGAAAGAAATGAAAATAGGAAAAAGAAGGCACGACTACCGATTTTCTCACAAACCTGTTTTCAGTTGCTAAGAATACTAATTAATGCTCCGTAAATTGATGATGTTCATCTCTAGAACGCTACTTAAAACCTTCAATTCATTATGATAACGCTTTTTAATTAAGGCCATAATCATGAAAACGTTTTTCTTTTCCATCTTAGTTTTCCTAAAATTGTCTTAAATAAGTCGACATTGCGTTGTTCTACGCTGTTCAGAGAAGTCACCCATAAGATTGACGTTTCCTTAAGTTCTAGTATACGAGAATGAAAGGATTTTAACTAATAATTTTCGTTGTTTTTAGGAACTTCAGGTTTTCACAAAACTCTTAAGGGCTTTTGTCGCACAATTATGGAATTAGACAGATAAGCATTGCTTAGATACAATCTTACTTATGTCTAGAAATGGAAGTATCTAAGGTCTTTTCGTAATTGTTATACATACCTAACGATAATAATAACATTAATAATTTCCTTTCTTCTTTCTTTCTTTCTTTTTCATTCATTCATTCATTCAT